TAAGCTATTAAGAATGCATAATTGAGATCATTGTACCAAAAATGGATTATTAAGAATCAATAATTGGATTAGCTAATTGAGAGTTTTGGAATGTGGATCAAGACTTTAAATATCAATTTTGAAGGAATTCAGAGAGTCAATAGAGTCTAGTAAGTCCAAAGACTCCAAAAAGATTTGCAAGTTAAGTTTTTTGATTTAAATTGAATAAATTTTTTTCAGAATTAGTATATTTTAGTCAATTTTGGGAATTTAAATTCAAATTTCTTTAAGAGTATTGATAGCACTACAATAAATATATCTAAACTAGATTTTGATATTTTAGAGAAAATTTAGAATTTCTGTATATAGATTTTTAGGTTTTGGACTCCAAAAATAAATAAAGGTGATAACATTGTTATGCACATAAGCAAATTACAAAAGATGGCTAAGCAACTCTCTTTAATTTGAGAGAAATTTTTGAATACATATTTTGTCATGGCATTATTAAAGAGTCTTTCATAGTCATATAGTATCTTGGTGATGTTGTTGAGAACATGACCTATTGTTGAGTTGATATTAACTATGGTCCCAGCTCAACTATTGGAACAAGAGTCTTACAACAAGAATGTAGGATCAACTTCTAACATGGCATTGTGTTGTAGGAAGAAAATCCAAGCCATATTTTCATACTTATATTCATACAAGATCTTCACATGATTATAAGAAGGATACCAAATATAGATATTATAGCAAGAAATGTCATTATAAGAAAAAATATGGGACCAAAAAAAAAAACAAGTAAGAAAAGTTAAAGAAGACTTTTCAAAAAGAGCAAGCTAATATAGTAGACAAAAAAGATTAAAAAGAACATGAATCTATCTTTGTAACTGCATTATTTATCATTCTAAGTAATAAAGAATGATACATCAATTTTGATACTTCTCAATATATGACAAAAAATCAAAGTTGATTTTTAAGTTATGTAAATCCACCACAAGGCTCTAAAGTCTATTTAAGCAATAATAATGGACTTGATATTAAAATAAAATATAAGATCTCTTTCTAGTTTTCAATTAATATTTAAAAGGATATACATGAAATCATGTATGTTGAAAGATTGCCTAAGAATTTTTTTTTTATTAGCAAAATGATAAATCAAGGTTATAAAGTCAATTTTAAGGCTAATACATGTCTTATGAAATAAGAAAATATAACCATCAAAGATATTAGGTATGATAGCTTATACAAGCTACTAGAATCTTTAGATAAAGATAGAAAGACTTTCCTTGTTATAAAGACAAAACAAACTTTGAACAAGGTTGATCTCTAGCATGAACAATATGGTTATCTTGGCATTTTGGAATTGAAGAAATTACAAGCAAGTAATATGGTTATTCATTTGGACATAGGCAAGAATATAGAGTTAGAATTTTGCAAGAAATGTATTATGGAAAACAACATTGTGATGTTTTTTTTAACAAAATGTGATATTCATGCAACAAAATTCTTAAAATTGATACATTTTGATATAAATGGTCCTATGAAGACAACATCTCGTGAAGGGATAAAATACTTTGTCACTTTTATCAATGATTTTTCAAGAAAAACTTTTGTATATTTCATGAAATAAAAATCTGAAATCTTGAATAATTTTAGGATTTTTAAGACTCTAGTTGAAAAATAAATAAGCTTAGAATTTCAAAAATTACATAGTGACAATAGCGAGGAGTATACATTCAAGGCCTTCAAATAATTTTGTGAGCAATATGGCATTGGAAGATAATTTTTAATACCTTATATGCATTAACAAAATAGAATTGTAGAATGCAAGAATTGGACATTTTTTGGGAATGCAAGGTACATGTTATAATATAAATAACTTTCAAATATACAATGGATAAAAGCTCATTTGAAGAAATTTAATTAGGTATAAAATATTTAGTATAATACCTTTGTATCTTTGGATGTGATGCCTATGTGCATGTTTCAAATTATGTCCAAGTGTGTGAATTTATATTTGAATATCTCAAATTAAAGATGAATATTCAACAATTAGTTATTGATTATGTTTGCTAATATCCAAATCTTCCACTATATCTTCATTGTCACTTTGTAAATTTAATAAAATCTCCATAGGCTCAATTTTAACACTTATTTTTTGAGGTGAAAGATTTGAAATAAAGGATTTGGAAGAAATCCACTATATTTTGATCGTGTAAATTATGAAGAACCAAAAGATTTATAAAATCCATCTCAATGGGCAAAAATATATAAAAAATATCCTTGAAAGGTTTGGCATAAAAGATTGTAATTCTTTAGCTACACCTTTGGATTCTAACAACAAATTGTGAAGAGACATGAATCCATAGATTCTTGAAGAAGTTGAAGCAATGAAAGAGATTCTATATCAAAATATAATTGGTAGTTTAATCTACACAATGATAGGCACTCGGCCCAATATTTCCTATCTAATGGGAGTTATTAGTCATACATGGCAAATCTTAGCCCACAACATTGAATAGTATTGAAACGTATTTTTTGATATCTTTAAGGCACATGAGATCATGTGCTACTATATGTTAGAAGCTCTTCAAATTCACAAATGGTTGGTTATTGTAATGTAGATTATGCAAGAAATATTGATACATAATGTTTGACCATTGGTTATATATTTTTATTGGCTTATAGTACAATTAATTGGAATAATAAGAAGCAACCAACATTTACATCATCTACCACCAAAGTAGAATATATGGCAACTACTTATGCTACAAAGGAAGCAATTTGGCTTCAAAGGTTTTTTTAAAGACATTTGATTTTCATAAGATAGTATTTTAATTATTTTAAGTAATAATTAATGTAGAAATCCTACATTCTATACTTATACTTAGCATGCTAAAATTCAAAATCATTTTGTTTGTGAGAAGATTGAAAGTACTAACATCAACTTAATTTTTTGTAAGACTCAAGATATAATTGTAGATATTTTGATCAAAGGTCTAACTTGTGAGAAACATTGTAAATTCAAGGAGATGATAGGTATCATCAAATTAAGTTAGTCTAATATATGATTAAATAGGTATATTAATAAAATATATAACTCCTATTAGACATAATATAGAATGGGCAATTGACACTTCTTTGCCAATTGAGAAGTTGTAGCTACCATTTGTTGGTGGTAATATCACTTAGCTACCATAGCCTACCAAGCCATTATGCGGCCTAACAAGATGAGTGTCTATATATTAATTTGATATCATTGATTAGGCTAGTTGTTTGTATGCTTATCTTAGAAAGTCTATGTAGTTAGACATTGGCCTAATAGTATAAGAACTTAAACCAAAAGCTCATTTTGGCAAGCCGTTTTAGTTCTCTTCTCTTCACATATTTATACTTCTATTCTAGTAATATACTTCTTCATATTTTATCGCATTATATTTATGATGGTCATGATGGTTGGATCAATTTAATAAATTTTTTGGTCTATTTAACATTCTTCTATTTATATATATACATCAAGATTTAAATCATTCAAAAATCACAACAATATTTTCTTTTTCTTTTTCATGAAGTCTAATGGAGACAATATACTTGACAAAGTTTTTTTTTTTTTATTATTATTTTTTTTACATTATTTAATTTTATGTTCAAAAGAGTTTCAAAACATCAAGTTTTATATTCAAAAAAATTAAAGTATGTTTATTTTCATTACTGTTTTATTTTTTAATCATTGAACTAAAATTCTATATGTCCAAATCTGAAAAATGTTACCATAAACTTTCCAAGACATGTAAAAGTGTAAAATTTGACAAAGAAACACATAAACGTATAACCATTTCTACTTCTATATTTGAAGGGTAATACTAACTAATACAAGATTCTTTGTGAAACTAATAACATTCAAGTACTGAATATGAAGCAACCTCAAACATCAGCAGATAATATATACAGCTATATATTTTTCCACGTAGATCATACTAAGAATTAATTAATATAATCTGCTTTGATTCTGAGCATACAAGTTTCAGAGGATCTTCAAAATCCATTATTCATCTAAAAAAAAACATGCAAACCCAGATGCAGTTCATACACTAGTGAAAACATGAGCTGATGACCATAGAAATGATTTGTGTGAATTTCAATGTACGTTATGCTTTGGAAACTTCTCCGCCAAACTTTATATAACCTTCAGTTAATATTCTTTTATTTTAAAGTAATTTTCTGTAATAAAAAGGCAATGTATGTAATAAATTAAAATAAAATAAAAATAATAGGGCTTGTGTCATGCCCTCTGTTCATCCTTTAAAATAAAACCCCGCATTCCTCATTATGTGAGGGTTTCATTAAATTCTATTAAAGTTAATTTCTCACTTTATTCCTATTTTGTTGCATTTTGCTATTTTTGCTTTACTTTACTTCCACTCTCTTTTTGTACTGGAGGGTGTAGCCCAGGCATCACTCTCTGACGAGATATAGCACTTCGTGAAATTTAGGTTTACATCAACAGCCCATCCATCTATCACATCAAATATAGTGTGTGACTAATTATAGTGTGGGGGTGAATGGCCGGGTGTGATCAAAGCCTGTGTTTAATGGTTATGTATGAAAATGTATACGTTTGTACAAACCGAGTTTAGGGGTTAGGGTTTAGAGTATTCGAAGTGATTGGATACCGAAGTAAAATATTGATAATCTCATTTCCTCCTTACAGACCCGAACGTGAATCCTCAACCAAGTTGTATGCAAACTTAAAATTAGTGAGATTGTGTTTGCATTGAGAGGATGTCAAGATAGGCTCAGGAAATTTCTAGGATTAATTGTGGCAACTTTGCAATTGGTGTGCGTTTTGAATCATTCTTCAATCGTGTCTGATTGAATGATTATTGTGAACTAGTTCAATAGAAATTGGAGGTAGATTGGAGATATTCATTCTCAAGTTAATGTTTTCGGGAGCCGTATTTTTATGATATCCAGAAATTCAAAGGATCCGAAATGGCAAACAGAAGTTCATGCTTCCCGAATTCACACACGGAAATCCCACAGTCGGGCTTGCGAATTCAACTCATATATCAGCAATTCACATTCATTCAACATGCACAACCCCTAATTCCTCAGAAGAAAACTGTAAGAAAGCTCCTAAATGTTTCTACAAGTCTTGCAAACCTCCTGCCATTGCTGATGTAGCATCCTTCCGACATTGATAAAGAGCTATTCTTCACCACCCACTCAATTGCTAAATGGCTCATCTATTCATTCCAGATATAGCACAAAGAACATCACGAAAGCAACCTCAGAAACAACGAATACTATTTTCTGAGGATGAAAGACGCCAGCTACATTGGCATTGACATGTTATTGGATAAGTACATAGTTCCAAGGGAGCTTTCATCACGCACCTTCTGGACGAAGATTTGGGTAAGCGGAAGCATGGAAACAAGTACTAAGACAATGGCGATTCTGCTTCAGTTAAGAACTTGGCATGGCCGATGCTTCCGTGAGAGCTTAGCCTCAGGAATGTCTTCACGAGACAAGCCTCGACAAAGCAGCAGTAGTGCTTAGAATGCCTAACCAAGAAAAAGCAAATGCAAGAGACGGAAGAAATGCAAAAGGGTTCTGAAAATCGCACCTCAAATCTGAAGAGGTGCAAAGAGTAGTCTATTTCATATGTGTTATGATGCTGACAAAGCAGTGGTAAATTTGGACTGGAGAACTGGGGAGCATCCTACTCTCGCTCATTTTTCCACGCTGGAAAATGGCCGTCAGAGGAGGTCGGCAACGAACATGCATGCATGTGCCTGGAAACGTAAAAAACAGTACGGAGAATCGCAATCCTACACCGACATGGACGTATAATATGTACTACGAACTAAATATTTTTATGAAACTCGCGGGGAGAGATACCGGAAGCATGAATTTAAACTAGTGCAATGCTTCTATCCACTCTACGACATTCACCAGGGTTGAGGTCTCAAAGTTCAGAGCTCGCAGCTCTACTCCCACCTACATTCAACCCTAATAAAGTAGAACTGGCTACATGTTTGCATTAAAAAGGTCGTAGAAGCGATTCTCAATGTGTTTGGGGATCAAGTTCTTTCGGGTTCCTGAAAAGCCTAGAGAATTTACGGGAATATACCGTGATGTCTGTATCTGGGAGCGGCTGGAATCCTGAAAGTAGTGCCGTAGCGAGAGTCTCTGTGTCGGGAGGGTCACAATTCCAATTGAAGGATTCGAGTTCACTAGGCCCAACCTGAATAAGCAGAGATACGATTTCACATCGAAGTCCTCTCAATTCTCGTGAAGAATCATTACTCCTCATTGTGAAACCAATTTCTCTCCTCACATGGCACATGTAGCAAGGTCAAGGCAGGTCGAAATCTTTTTCAACTGCAAAAGAATGACAGGGCCTGCTGGTCCTAGCTTGCAATACTAGTGCAGGGATAAGTATCAAGCGTGACGAAGTGAGCGAGAGAGAGAGAGAGAGAGAGAAAGCCATAGAGGTATAATTCAGTGATGTGAACTTCAGTGTGGCAGGCATGAAACTTACATGATGGCTGGGGTTCAAACGTTGACGGCACCTTCGGCCTGTCGATCTCGGACGTCCAAGTTGGGCGATAGCCGATCCGGGCTCAGAGATGCGAAGAAGGAAGTGGACTTGCGAAGATGCGATGAGGAGTGCCGTTGGTTAAACACTTCACGGCTTGAAGCACCGTCCATCCCAGACACACACCAAAAAACACACACTCACGACCTCGGCTGTGGTACACTTGTAGATAGCAACGTCTTTCACGAGGACAAGGTTGCGAGTGTGCGAAAGCTAAGGCTAGCTTCAGAGTAAAAGAAAATAGCTCGCAGCGTAACCTTGCTTGGATCTATGTAGCACGCCTTGCTAGCATGGAAAGACAGATTTTCCGTAATACGACTGTCAGTATCCTAGGGAGAAAGAGAGAAAGAGTGAGACAGGGAGAGTAGAACAGAAGTAAGACGCAGCAGTTTGGAGTAATCCCTCAAAACTTGAAGAGATAATCGGCGGTCTCAGATTAGCTCGACTATTGCAAAGCATGGATCAAAGTAATGCTTTGAAGGGGGCTTGTGGTAAAAGCGAGAACAATGCGACATCCACACTTTCCTGGAGAAGCAGGCGAACTAGACCGAGGCGGAGTTGATAGCAGGTATTCCAACAAAATAAATCGCCGGGATAAAAGACAGATTCAGACCACCTTTTTATAAGACAAACCACGCTTCCTGGTGTGCGCACTGTTCGTCTGGGCAGAAACGAAGACCTTGGGGCCTACGACTACTGCTTCGTGCATGGGCTGCACACTGATGCTGAGCTTTTGCACGATTCAGTGCCAGACGATCACTGGAACGTCGAGGTGCACAATCCCCACAATAATGGGAATTAAAACCTTGGTGGAGCCCTGCAAGGTCTTGCTTGCATGCTCGCTTGCTTCTCCTCCTCCTTTTTTCGGATATTTTCTCCACATTTCCTTTAAAAACTATGTTATACGAACTGAATTTGTGGCTACCTTGCTGAAGAGCATTCCGAGTAATAGTTTTCTAAACACCCCGAGTGATAATGCGACATGACAGTCCAAAACAAACATTGGCACATGGCTTCCCTCGAGGTCAAGGTGGATTGAAAAACAGCAATTTACCAGCAATGTTACAGTATCCGGTGAGAATATTCAGGACAGTGCGGTTTTTCCCACGAAGCGGTATATACCTGAAGCAAATCCAGAGTTCAGGTTCTCACTAGCACAATGTTCTGGCTCTAGATTTAATCTCACCTTGAGAGACATCCGTGTCATGTGGAACCAGATCACTAAGTTCATCTTCCTGCTGTTCAGTTTTTTCCCGTAAATTGTCACCATCTGGGCATCTTCTGCAATGGTGAGACAAAAGAGTAAAAGCATCCGATCAGCATCGAAGATTTTTTTCTTTTCTTTTTTTTTTCCCCTTATTTCCCTACATTCCTACTTTGGGGTACTTCTAAAGAGTTGCAAGCTTGCAGTGGAAGGACGAGTCCAGCTCTGTGTGCCAAGGGCCCACCAAGTCTGACCTTCTCACAGAAGGGTACGATATGTTAAAGAGATTTATGTATTGGCAAGGACCGATAATGGTCACGGTCCAGGGCTCTACGCCCAGATGCCCCGATACTGATCAACGCTGGTGATAATGGTGGTGGTAATGGTGGAGGTGGTGGAGGTGCTGCTGCTGTGGTGTGTGTGTGTGTGTGTAATGCAAACTGCATCTTCTTCCCACAGAGTGCAATTTAGCAGTATTATTCAAGGCAGTCACTCTTGTGTGTGAGTGTGTGTAGATCTGAAGAAGTGGGTTCTAACTCCTTGCCACTGATTATACGTATTCTTGCTGTTGCTGGGTGTTGAGCCGATGCAGTGTTGCATGTGTGTCTTCATTTGCACTGAATTCGTGCTCCCGTTTCAGGTGAGATCTGCCTTCACTTCTCGGCAGAAGTTGAAGGCAATGAAGCCTACATACGTTTCTATATATATATATATATACATATATATATGTATATATATATATATATAGAAACGTATGTGTTTGTGTGCGTGTATACATACGTGTAAGTTTGTGCTTTTGTAGTGTAATCTTCATCAGTACTTTTTGCTGATCAATAGTACCAAGATTTACATGTCTTCTAAATTTTTTTTATTGAAATATTTTGAACTAAGATGACATATGTGCTAGTTTGTGTGCAATATATATATATATATACACACATGATTAGTAAGTTTCACATATAACTTATAAGTACATCTACTAGTTACAGATGTAGTTAAATGTGTTTTTCTTACTCATATTTCTAAAATAAATTTAATGTATTTGTAGCAATAAATAACACTTTTCTTTACCAGCATATTTATTTGTAATTCCAATAATAATAATAATAATAATAATACGATTTGACAGCTTGTTTATTTTATCTTTTGACTAGTTCAACATTTTAATTTTTTTTATAAAGTTGTTGAATGATTCCAATATTTATGCATTATTGAATCTTCTGATCAAAATAATTTTTTTATTATACTTTTATTATTACCATGGTTTAGGAACATATATATATATATATATATATATATATTGTAATATTGAAATATTTAATTTAATGAACAACATTACTTCTATATTAAAAAGGATTTTTTTCTTAGACTTTTTTGATATTAAAGTAAAAGTATATATATATAAATAAATTTAAATTATAGAAATACTTATTGGAATTTACAATATAATTTTTAATTTAAAAATATCATTGATTTTTTTGACAGAATAAAACTCATAGATACGTCTTATATATATATGAAAATAATCATATATAATTTTATTATGTATGTGATGCTAGAATTGCATTAGAATAATAAAAAAAATACATTTTACATTATCATTAATCCAAAATTTATCATTTAACCCAACATATGCCTATCATTAATCCAACATATGCCATTTGTAATCTTATTAGTTTTACAGTATATAACAATAAGTTAAAAACTTAAAGCAATAATATTATCTCTTTTTTCTCAAAAACTACTCCAAGAATTATAATTTAGTATTTTTTTTAATATATAATATTTATATCAAATGTTTAATTTTGTATATTAAATCTAGTTTTTAAAATTCTACAAACTTTGATTCTAAAATCTAATTTAGAATAGTATTTTAACTCAATTATAAGTATAAATATATATACATATATATATATATATATACATACTTGCAAATAAAAAATATGTTTTTTTAGTATTTTGAAATAGCTCAGTATACAAAATATTTGAGATTAATATTGACTTTTGAAGATATCCTACTAAGACCAAATCTTAAAAACATCTACAATTCAATTTGGATAATCTACTTTAATAAATTTGGGATGTTATTTGTAGCATATATTTAACTTGATTTCAATCCATTGAATATGTTATCTTTTTTGATATTGTTAATTGTGATATATATATATATATATATATATATATGATTCGCAATTGTGTTAATAACAATTATGTGTCCTGTTTTCACTTACTGTTTCCTTTTTCTTTTTTCTTTTTCAATAACACTTAACTAGTCAATACAAAACCTTATTATTATGCTATGTTCACACTTCTACTTTCTCTCCCCTTTCAATGGTGAAGAGTTTTTGATGCGGTGTGGAGAGTGGATTGTGCGAGGTGTTCTGATTGCAGGCATATTTTGGCGTTTCGTGACCAGTTCAGAAAAACATTGCGAGTGCGTTGTAATTTTTTGGTCATGGCCCGACTTGCACTGCTTGTTGTGGGTCCCTAAAGTGCAGAATCTCGGATCAATGTCACATACATTGCTAGCGTGAAAGGTGCTTGAAACGAGGCAATTTTTTGGCATCCAGAGATACGGAATGGTAGTCCTTTTTCACTGGTGGGAGACAAAAGACGTACTCGTATGTCCTTGTAGATGTGGACCCTGATCAAAGACGGGAATCGCAAATTGACTGCCACATTAATTCTTTGGAGGGTCCATTTAATCGATTCGCTTGCAGGTTGTAGTTGCAAACATGCGGTACACTCGTGTCACACGCTGTAGGAGTCCTTAGTTGGCTCACAAACCACCCAGCTGGAAATGTGAATACCATGCATAATGGATGCGTGATGATATGGATGATCCCAATCTCTGAAATATCAATTCAGTTGGTACATGATTCACTGTTTCAAAATGAGAGTGACGGGGAGTTCTGCCATGCAAACACTGCAAAAAAGGGAGTCTAAAGAACCATGCTGGATGGGTGAGGGCTGCATATTCTGCAATTAAAAATCAGAGGAGCCGTTGCTCTAAAGGCTTGTTTTTCGACTTGTACATGTGGTTTCAACGACAATCCCACCTGAAGTTCGGCCAACGCAGTTGGAACTGGATGTGCAATGAAAGAACGCATATGCATTAACGTCCACTTTTATCTCGCTTGAGGAGAATCTAAATATATCGTCATTTTCTTTTTCAGGAGAATGTGTTTTTATGCATAGTTCTTCGACAAATCTCGGAACCTTCAGATCCATGGGAGGCAAACTCTCCGACAAACGTCATTTGTCTGCTGTACATAGTCTTCGAAATGGGGTTCTGGCTATCTTGTCATGTCCTGTCACAAACCTACTTGTGCAGAAGTCTGGTCAAAGAAATCCAAGATTTCAAATTTTCCTGACAAATCCCACGACTGCCACCGACAACACGTCGCAGAGCATATGTAACATAATTACGTTTTCTAGTGTAAAAAGATGGTTGAATTTGCCCCCGGGCTCATATTCAACTGATCTCATGAGATCATGAGTACTGAGATTAAGGTACCTGTACAACTTGACGTGTCCCATCACGTCAGTTTTTTTTTTTTTTTTTTTTTTTTTTCTCTCTCTCACTCTCTAAAAACCCTTCATTTCTCCAGTTTTTTTGAATTCTATTACCATCATATCATAATTTCCTTGCTAGGAGGCGTTGCAGTAGTGGCAAATGCATGGTGGTCTATCGGCTCTCCCTTGGAACTCCCTACGACTGTTCCGTGATGAATATTGCATGAAGTGAAATCTCGTACTGGCCTTTGCGCCCATCACGTCTTCCGTGTGGACCGTATACTTTTTCCAGACACACGACGCTTCGTTACACCCCCCACGTAACGCCCAAACAGTGCTCGCAGACTGCTACCGTCCATTCAATTCAGAGACCTTTTTCTGCAAGTTGGGGCCAGCTGCAACAATCTTACACTACACTGGCATTTGATGCTCTTCCAGACAAAAAAAGACTACCACTACTACAAATACTACTACTACTCCTACTATCCACTACTACCAATGCTACTACTACTCCTACTATCCACTACAATCACCACCACCATCACTACCATCACGTTAACTTCGACTTCAGAGCTAGGCTCACATTCTATCCGAGAAGCTCACGACGTCTGGAAGGCATCCTTGAGAAGCACCCATGAGTCTATTGCTGTGTAGTACGATTGACAACCCCTTGCAATTACAAAATATAAATATCATGGTTTGTAAAATAATACCATGCCATAAATTTACTTTAAGAAATTAAAACATGGCTATCTAAGAACAATTTGATAATTTTTTTAGTCAAAACTATAGCCATTAAATTAGAATGAATAATTAAAAAATCACTAAAAATATTATAATTTTTTTCAAATATTTTATATTTTTCATATATAATATCTAACATTTAAAAAATTCATCCAATTTTTTTAATAATTTTTAATATAATTAAATTTTAAAATTAAAAATTTAATCCTTTTATTTTTAAAAAACCTCTCAAACAAAGAGAATCTATTAAGCAACTTCAGATTTATGTCAGGAACTCAACTTTTAAAAATCTAACACATTAACATATTTTATATACAAAAGACATAAAATATTATAATGAGATTACAATCCTCAATCTTCAAAAAATCATAAATAAAATTTAAAAACTTCTTATTTAATTTGAGATTATTATTTTTATACTTATTAAATCATTTAGATGTTTTTATAAATATTTTTATATTAAAAATAATCAATTTTTTTTTCATGAGATTAA